ATCATGCAGGGAGTTTTACAGATTATATGGACACTGCAATATAAACAGAGCAGAAAAACAGAAGAAGAAAAATGAAAAAAGAGAAGAAAAAAAAATAAAAGATGAAAGAAAGATGAGATAGAAAGGAGACAATGACAAAACATTTTCGATCTGCTTCATCACCTGTAACGAGATGAAAAAAGAACAGCACAACCGAAAGACATGGTACGAGACATACAATAAAGCAACACCTTGAAACTATCGCTAAAGTAATATTATTTAATATGACATGTACTCTGTGTTACCTGAAGATATGAATGTGGGGTTTCTGTATGGGAGTGAATCTCTGAGTACCTGGAGCCAAGCACCTGTAATTGTTTGTGAGGGTGAACTTGTGCATGTAAAGTTTATCCATAGAAAAAATGCTCAATAGTGGTTGTGGAGAGCTGGGGAAGCACACCCCCCACAGCACTGAGTCCAGTGCCGGGAGACCCAAAGCCCCAGGCGCCCAAAGGGACCCCAAGAGCGAAGGCACCAAGGAGGGGCCAGCCCCGGAAAGCCAATGTTTTCTAAATGAGACCCAGGACTGGGAACCACTGGGCTGTTGGATCATCCAGACACTGATTACTGAAGGACATCATTACCTGTTTATATTCAAACTACATTTCAGCACATGAAGATAAATAAAGGAGAACTAGTTCCAGTAGGAGCTGTGAACTGAGTTCAGAACCAGTTCTAGTTCAGGGAGAACTGGGTCAGCANAGCATGTATAAAGTAAAGAGAATTGGTCCTAGCACTGATCCCTGTGGTACTCCACAGGTAACCTTTGAGCATGTTGAAAATCTATTATTAACATGAACAAACTGAATTCGAACAGATAGATAAGATTTAAACCAGTCTAGTGCTGTTCCTTTAATTCCAACAAAATATTCAGTAGTACGCAGAGAACTAGCAACCCCATCAACAAACTTCTCTGTGAGTAACACTTGGCTCGACCAATGGGAGGGGGTATTCTGGATCGTTACATCTATGTTGTCAGGGGACTGGGGTCTGGGAACAAGTCTGGGAACAAGTTTATCGTAAGATTTCTTATATACTGTGCCCTTGTTTTTTAGTCTTACAGTAACACAGGACAAAGTGCGTACCTTTTCCACTAAATACAGGACGGGTACTTCTATTTCTAAATACTGAATGATTACGTTTTTCAAGGGCCGGTTGGCAACCCTACATGGAGGATGAAAATGAACTGGAATTCCTGTCATTAGTTTTCAGGGTGTTATGGCTCAGGGTCCTAAAAACTGGAGACCATGCCACAGGGTGCAGAGAGAAACATTGATTTAGGATCAAGCACATGTTAACAATGACTAAAATGGATGGAAGTGTCAGTATCAGTGTGGTAGAGCAAATGACTGGATGTGTCTGTGTGATCATCAGAGTGATGACAATTTTTCTGATTTCATCATCTAAATGGTTGTTTGTAAAGTGAAGACATTTTTCTGGTCCTGTTGAGCTGTTTTGCTAACAGTTAGCTTTAGGGTTAATGTCAGGGTCAGGACATAGAAAGAGTTAAACTGACTGAAAATCAACAGAAGTCAATTCATGATGACGATGATGCTGAAGACAACGACGATGATGATGATGACGATGATATGATTACGACGATAATGAGGATTACCTTGACTGTGATGATGATGATGATTAAGATGAGGATGATATAGAGGATAATGATGATGGTGAAGATGATGATGATGAAGACGATAATGAAGATGACGATGATGATGATTTTAATTATGATGGTGAAAACGATGATGATGATGATGATGATGAAGACGACCATGATGACCAAGATAAAGACGATGACTATGACGATAATGATGATGATGGTGACAATGATGACAATGGTGATCATGAGCAAGATGATGATGCACAACAGCAGAGCAGCTCTGCGTCCATCGTGGGCATAGAGAGGGAGAGAAAGAGGCAGGTATTTCTATCCTCTGTTTAGGATCCCCATCACCATAACCTGCAAAGAGGAGGAGCAAACAGGGCAGAAACACCAACACACAACCCAGCTCACAAGGCCTAGGGCTGAACAAAGGGTAGCTGACACACACTGTGTGCTGAGATCCACCTAGGCATGGGCCACTACTGAGCTCCAATAAAAGCAATAGAAAATAAAAAGAATAACACTGAAATACAGACCAAAACATTGAAGATGAAAAGAGGTACAATCAGTGCAGGTCCATCATCAACAGGATGGTAGCTTTACTTTTATTTCATTTTACACTTTATGTGGTGCAGAGTTAGAAAAAATCCTATTGTCACTTTTTCCAGTATTGTGCAGCGCTACTGTGGAATAATTGATCATCTAGTTGAATTTATCTGCATCCATCTCTGTTTGTTCATGTTTTCTCTAAAGTTCTCCAGAACTGAGCTGAGTTTGTATTGATGGAGCTTCTGGTGGAGCTGACAGAAATAAATTACTGGAGCAGCAGCATGTTGGTATTAATATAGATGAGAGCTCTTTAACTGGTTCTGTTGGACTGTTCTTACCTGCATCCTGTTGGATCAGCTCACATCCTCTTTTTTTCATTCAGATTGATTGGCTGTGGTTTGTCAGAGATCAGCTGTGCTTCTCTGGTCTCAGCTCTGAAGTCAAACTCCTTCCGTCTGACAGAATTGGACCTCAGGAACAACAACCTGCAGGAGTCAGATGTTCAGCAGCTGCAGGATCTTGTAAAGGGTCCAGACTACAAACTGAAGAATCTGTAAGTAGATGGTTGGAGTGAGTCCAGCTGCTGTCAGCAGGATTGTTCTAAACCCAGTTAGTATCAAAGCAAAGATCCAGTGTTTCCAGTAAAGCTGCAGCTTCTCAGTGGGAGGAGAATGTGACAGGCTTCCTGATTGACACAGATACACCAATCAGCCAATCAGAGGAGACAGAAGCTGGTTTTATTCCTGTGTTTGTGTTGATGTGAAGAAGACTGTTGTTGGTGTGTTCATGTCTCCAGGGAAAAAAAGCTGTATTACAGCTGCCAGCCTTCCAACAAGTCTAAAAAAAGTGGTCCTCATCCATCAAACTGTGGGAGCATTAGATCTGATCTCAGACACTTTGTTCTCTCATTTCAACAGGAAACAACTGATCAGTTTCATCTTAGCCACAGCTCTGAGATCAGTCTGAATGCAGCCTGGAAATCAGTGGCTCTGATTTCACAAACAATCTTTCCATTTAGTCACCATGTGTTTTTTTCCACAGAGCAGAAGCTCTGCTAAAGTCCACTCAGCACATCTGGACATGTGTCCTTCTGTCATTAGGCTCATCCAGATGTGTTCAGGGACAGTCTCCATGTTTATTAGTCAGCTGATATTTCAGAGACAGATGAGATGTTTGTCAGCAGCAAGTTTCTGTGTCCAAATGGAGCAGCAGCTAACATGCAGCAGCAGTAAATCCATCACTATAGTGTTTTTTGCAGCAATGAAGCCTTCAGGTCTCTCAGCAGATGGTTTTCACTGTGAACTGGGGAAACAACTGCAGAGAAAATAGACTGGATGCTAAAAATATGTTCAGCTGTGTGAGCTGGGAGCTCAGTGTGTTCATTGCTCTTTATGCTGCATTTGCTGCATCACTGACTGACAGCTGATGGAGAGAGAGAGGCTGGAAACACTCATTGATCTCCTCTGTTCATCCATCTTCTCTCTGCAGGAAGTGGGGGTCCCGATCTTAGTGGAGGAGAGAAGCTGATTTGTGTCCTGATTATCCTCAGAGGTTGAAGCTGGAGTGGTTTGAGTTTAAAGAGTTTAAAGAGACTCTGACTGGATCCTAAAGATTAACTCTAAGATTTGTTTGTTTTCAGTCCTTCTTTTTCTTTGTTTTCATGATCTCCATAATATCATGTTGATATTTTTTTCTCTACAAATTAAAATTGACGATAAAATTATCTATAACATGTGAAAATATGAATTTAAAAAAGAATCCTTAACAGTTTTAACAAACTTTGTTTTCCCAAATATTTTTATTAAATTTTAACACACACTGAAGGATAGTACCACAGCACACTACATATAAACAAATCCAAACATACACCAAATTAAGATTACAACAATATAACAAAAGAATAAAACATATAAATAATAAAAATGAAATGCTTCTCAGTTGATATCAGTATCGCTTATACTTGACATCTCATTACCTCCACCCTCTTTCAAAAAGGATAAGAATGGGTAAGGTTTTTACAAACTTTACTTTTAAATTTGGCAGATACTGTTGTAAACCTCAGAAAGATCTTTCTCTGTGATTTAGTATTCTCACTTAACTTCCTGGATCAGATCTGAAAAGCTGCTCTGTCTTTCTGATTCTCTGAGAGCTGCAGCAGTTTCAGATGCTGAGATATTTTTTCTTTGGGTGTTTCCTTTATTTCTCACCATTTATTATGTCTCCATGTTCAGCTGCTGAAACTTAGATCCTGCTGAAAATCTTTGTTGTTCCTGCTGATGAACCACCACAGTGGCTCATTGTTAGCAGGTTAGCTAAAGCTGGTGTGGAGTGATCCAGGACCTCAGATGGACTCAGGAAGCCCTTCCAGTCCGGCCCCAGCAGGGTGGAGGAGGGCTGCTGTCATTAAGGAGGAGCTGCTTGGACTGAAAATAGAGTCGAAGGCTGAATCCCATCATTTGGCCTTAACTCTTCCTCACCAACCCTAAGCGAGTGAGCTGTTGGGGGTCCTGGTTGTTCTGAGGATTTGTAGGGGTGTTACCCATTGGTCCTGGGACAGGGATTCTGTTTAGGAAACTGTTTGGAAGCAAAAAAGTTAGAGCTGAGATTGGAAATGTTTGTTTTCTCACTTCCAATGTTTTAATGACACAATAACCAATTATGGTGTCTAATTCAAAATATTCTGATATCTCATGTTGTTTTCAATTGTTAATTATTTTAATCCAGTTTAAAGACAGCAAAAATAGAATATTTCATCAAATATTTTACACCACTAGTTACTATCCTATTGTCCTGGAGGGTAGCAGCTGATCTGGATCAGTGATCATCTGGACAATTGTCTAGTTTCCATTCTGGTGTGAAGCTCATAAATTGCTCATTATTCTATGTTAAGTGTGAGTTTGTGTGTGAACGGTTGTGTGTCTCTGTGTTGCCATGGACGACCTGTCCAGGATGTATGGATCCTATTAAATGGAAAACCTCAAATAAGAAAATCTCATAAAAATACTGCTTGAACTATTTAAGCTTGTTTTATTGTAACCTGTAATAATGTTCAGCACTTTGCTACCAAATGTTTTGTTCCCCAACAGCCCGAAAAATGCATGTCTAATTAAGAAAACATAGATTAAAGAGCTGAATGGAAATCACTTTCTGAATCAATGAACTTGTCTTTACTGGAACAAAAAAAAAAATCTTTGGTATAGTTGGAAAACCATTTTTAAAAGGAGAACAACTGTATTTTTAGCTCGTTAAGTATATCATGTTGTATTTTCAAACAATTTTTGCTTAGTAGAAGAAGTTCAAAAAAATCAAAGGAATATAAAAACCAACATAATTTTTTTATTAGGGGGTTTAAACCATCTTAGTGCCTTTAAGTTTGCCTGGTGACTTAACTAGAGGGAATCGTTATTTCCTCTTCCCTTGCTAAAAATGCACTGTAAATACCAGTTGTTTGCGAAGCTAAAGAAACATATATTACAACTTTTTTCATTCTCAACAACACCTTCAGGACATAATCAGTGTTGTGCATGAATAGTGTTCATTGGATGCTTGCCTGTTTTTAGTGAATGGGTCAGTTTTGAAGTAAGGAACGTGAATGAGGGCAACGTTCCTTAATTTGAGAATGATGCGGGATACACAGTTCACAATGGCATTCAATTGATAACAACACTTTTCATTGGATAACGTCAGGTTTTACGGCACTTATTACACCAAACAGCCTGATAGACCAGTGTGTCTACTGCTGTACTAGTCTGCTCCATTCAGAGTCATCTGCTGGTATTTCTGATGCTAGTTTAGCAAAGAGCTTGGCAGAGTTTGATCTACTAACAAAGGAAGACTGGGACAGTAAAAAAAATGCAAACTGTGCCCACTGAACTGGCGACCTGTCCAGAGTGTACCACGCCTCTCGCCCATTGACTGCTGGAAAGAGGCACCAGCACCCCTCGTGACCCCACTCGGGACAAGCGTGTCAGATAATGGATGGATGGACGGATGTGCCCACTGGGACATTACAAACTAGTCCATATGTCAGCTGTTACCCCTCTCAATAAACTCAAGATGCAGGTTTTCTTTTATGGGTTATATTCTTCACAAACCTCCCAAAACCGTGAACAGTGAAATACATAATGCACAGCATTAGAATGGCATCAGCTAAAACGCTGACATAAATCAGACCGCTATAGGAATAAAAAAAATTAGAAACAAAACGTACCTCGTTGGCTGCCGCATGAAACAAGAGAAAGTAATGTCCTTTAGATGTCTTTAATCCTTTGCCTGAAGTTGTGTCTAAACGTCCTTATAAAACTTTAACAGAACTTATCTTCTGTAGTCAATTCCGTGACGTGCTAATGTCCTTCTGCAGCTTAGCTGGCCATGTTAGAAAGTTACGTCGCACGCACATACTTGGGATTGCATATCAAAATAAATGTTTACCCTTAACATAGGTAAGTTTTACAAAAAGTAACCAAATAAATCATTATGAAAACATCAAAACCCTTTTACATGAAAAACATTGATAAATAGATGCTTGCAACCATTATATCAGCGATGTAAACTTCAAATTTATAGCATCTGAGCCATCCTGGAAAATATCTGCAGCTGATTGATTTTAGTTTAGTTTATTTAAGATCCCCATTAGCTGTAGCAAGCTACAGCTATTCTTCCTGGGGTCCAACAAAAAATATGAAATAAAAAATTACAAATGAAATAAAATTATATGGACATTAAAACAACATCTCCCATAATCTATACATATACATAAATACATACACACCTATACACATACATACTCATACATATATACATATACCTACATACCCATATACATACACAGAAACAATCCAAACTAATCAAAACAAACTACAAAGCACAGCAAGTGAAGAAGACAGTGTACTCCCTCACAGTCCTAATCGTGTTTTTTGAGACCACCTCTATATTTAATAAATGTTCTTTCAATGATCTTTTAAATTTTCTTAAATCAGTTATCAATTTAATGCAATTTGGCAGTAAATTCCATGTTTTCATACCTCTATACATAACAGTTCTTATTAAGACATTTGACTTTGCTTTAGGCAAACTAAACTTTCCTTCAGTTGCATGTCTAGTCATGTATTCGTGATTCTCCGAACTAGAAGTAAGGTTTGCAAATAAAATATAAGGTGTTTTTAATACAGATACATTTCTAATCATAACAGTCAATGAGTATGAAAGTCTGTCTTTAACCAACAACCAGTTTAATTTTTTATGCATTGTTATGATATTTGTCCTTAAATCACACTTCAATATTATTCGGGCAGCTCTATTTTGTACATGTTGTAGTTTATGTAGCATATCTCCAGGGGCATTTGACCAAACGACTGGGCAGTAATCCAGTTGAGAAAATATCAATGATTGGATTATCATTTTAAGAATATTTGGGGACATAAAGGTTGCATGTCATCTTATGACTGTGATTCCTCTACCCATCTTTGCAATCATGTTATTAATATGTTTTCTCCATAATAACTTGTTATCACTCCCAGAAGCTTGGCCTCATGTACATTCCGTATCAAGACGTTATTGATATTAATCTTCAATATATGATTACTGTTTACGTTGTGATTTGACCTCACAATCATGCTGTTAGTTTTTGCTGTATTCAATACGAGCTTATTTGCTTTCACCTATTTATCCACTCCCACTAGTTCGTTATTCATAATAATTTCTAATTCATTATTTGTTCTTGCTGATGTATATATAGTGGAATCATCTGCATACATAATTATTTTAGTTCTTTTGAGTATGTATGGTAAGTCATTTGTAAAAATTGAAAATAATAAAGGCTCATTCTACAGCAACAGCACTAATTAGTATGTCTGATGACTGCTTCCCTTTTTATCGAAGCTCTCGTCATGGAGACAGTGGAACATCCTGTGGTCCCAGCTGCTCCACCTGCCTTCAGAACCTGCTGGGATTGTTCATGCACGTGGCAGTCTGTCTGACTACAGAGCCATCCAGTGTGACCCTAGGAATATCACTTCTCTGCAGGAAACAGAATCAATCTGTTCTAGTAGTTGTTTGGTTTAAATCTTGAAAGGGGACAAAACTCTCTGAGATGGGGCCTCAGGTCAAGTTGTTGCTCTAGACCATATTAACCAGGAGTCCAGAATAGGACCAGAGTTTATTCATGGAGGAACAGAACAAAATAAGGATTAAAACTAATCCAATCTCAATATAACTGAGGCTAAAAGTGCAATGTCTAGAACTGAAACTAGTCCAAGGGAGCAAACAGTTTAAAAGGTTGGTTAGTAGGTTTCTGTATAAGCCAAAAGCATCAGAGAATATAAATTCAGCATTATGGCTTCAGTACAGTGGCCTTGGCCCCCTGTCTAGAGCCTCCCCTGGACAGGTCAGATTTTATCGTCTTTCAGCTTCCAGAAGTTCCTAAAGATGTATTGGAGATTTTAAGATAACTTTTCCATTGTTTAGTGTTAAATAAAGAAGTCAGGTCCCCCTGAAGCCTCAGAACTTCCCTACCGGTTCTTTTCCTGGGTGCAAGTTATTTACTACTCTTAACTCAAACTGGGTAAAACCAAACAAAAAGGATTATAAAACAGGAGCAAAAAGGTAACAGAGTTTATTCCAGGTCAGGTCGTTACAAGACAGAGAAATTGCTTGGAGTTGGCAAAGCTGTGGGCTCAAAAAACATCAGCGAGCGTCCGGCAAAGTTTGAACCCCGAACAAGGTAATCTCCTCCTTCTTACACCTCATGAGTCCATGTGTTGCAACAGGTGGATGCTTAACTGTCCGTATCAGAAACTGACACGCCATCCATGCCCTGACCTTTAT